ACTACTACTACCACTACTGCTACTTCAACATGATGAAAGAACAGCTCTCCGAGGAGGGGCTTCTTCAAGACAGTCTTCGAATGGTCAAGAAGCAGAAGGACAAGAACTCGGAGACCAATAAAGCTGAGAAGGTGGGGGTGGGGGTGGAGATGGGGTCGTTCTTGGACTCTCGCTGTATGTTTAATTGCTGGCAGCCTTTTGCTTGAGTCCTATTGATCCAATTGTTGCCCTCCGCAATCTCATCCCAGGCCCGTGCTGCAGGGAGTCTCTGGAGGAAGAGGTTGAATGCCATCGTGAAGTTGGGCACCGAAGCTGCAATGGACTGTCAAGCCACGAGAAACCGATTTGTGCTCGCATGAGTGTTTGCCCATTTGCTGCATTGATTGTTAGCATGACAATGACTAAGTGACGGGCAAAGCCAGCAATGCGATTCTCATCACCAGCACGAAGACTGTGGATGACATCAGGGCCCTGCTGCAGTCCATGGCTGCGAAGCAGCGGAAGATCCTCGCTTTGCAATTGTAGTTCATAGTCTGAGTCGTGACACAATGACTTCAAGTGTCCACGATTTATGAATTGAGGCAGCTTGGCCAGAAGATCCCGGCCGTGAATAAAGAGTACGACCAGCTCCTCGAGAAGTTGACCAAGGACTCCCGGTTGTGCTCGATTGTTGGTGCGAGTTCGGAGTGAGCAAACCTGTTGCAGTGTGGTGGCTTTGCATGAGCAGCAGCACGGATTGCAGACTTTTGGCTGTAGGCCTTTTCCCCACGGCTTTTGCTTTAGCCTCTCCTAGTGCCTCCGTGTTGCGAACCATGGCCGGTAGCAACCTGGAACTCTGCGAAGATGCTGTGGCTGGCATGCTGGACCGCATCGAGACGCTGGTCCGGAAGGACGATGTGGCTCTCAGCGAAGCCTGGAAGGAGAGAAAGCGGAAGCTGGATGTGAGGGAGGACCAGCTGCTCGAGCGAGAGGCCGATGTCCTCCGAAGGGAGAAGGCCGTGGCTGAGCGGGAGGCTGCTTTTGCAAAGGGCAGTCAGAAGCCGGGTTCTGGAGTACTGCTTTCATCGTTTTTTGGGGGGCCCTATACCTTAAAGGAGCCCTTATGAAATATAAGTTGAGGCTATTTTCAACCTTGTTGCTTCAACCAAAGCCCAGGAAGGCCATGTGCCCGCACTGCGGTGTGAACCGTTGCACGAGGGCCGGACCGTGCTTCAGTGAGAACGGGCAGGACTTGCACCCGCACAGCTGTTTGGATTGCCACCGGGCCCACAAGTACCAAGGCAAAGGCCAGAAGGGCGGTGGTCGAGGTGGCGATCGCTGAGCCGGATTTTGTTATGAGGGTGGAAAAAAAACATGCTCGAGAGTTTGTGAGTTTGTGCGAGGGCAGCAGTTCGTCCGTGCAGCATTGGTTGTCAACCTTAAATAAAGATGAACACCCGAGGAGAATGCAAGCAAATGCTGACTCATGCGAAGCCGTGCCGGCTCCATTCGTGTTCAGCTGAGAGCCCCGCCGTGGGGTGTCATGTCGGGAGCCATGAGCAGCAGCGAGGCTGCTGCCAGTCTGGCTCAGATGCAGCTGATGCTGGCGAGTATGAAGACATTCATGGCAGCGGCAGAGCAGCAGATGGCCGCCAGAAAGGACGAGCCGAAGGAGGCTGAGGATCGCCCGAAGGAGAGCAGGGCGATGGAGAAGAGCAGGGCGAAGGAGGAGAGCAAGGCGAAGGAGGAGCCGGAGCTTCGTCTTCCATCGGCACAGCCGGAGGCTCGTCTTCCAACGGCACCGCCCAAGCCGAAAGTGGGGGCGACAAAGCCACCGCCACGCACGGAGGACTCGACCTCGAAGGACCAGACCCAGAAGGACCCGACCCAGAAGGACCCGAAGATTGGAATCCGAAAAGTTGGAGCCTTCAGGCTGGACCATGGCACCCTGGAGATCTTTGCCCGCTTCTATCCGGACGAGCCGGTTATTCCGCGACCTTTGTCTGCTGTCAAGACCGAGGACCTCAAGACGGCAGATGGTTCCGCAGCTCCGAAGACCCCGCCGATAGCACCGCCAGAGGCCAAGTTGAAGGCACAGTCGAAGCAGCGACCGGGACGGCCAAGAGATGATGACCCTCAAGAGGAGCAGGATGCAGAGGAGGAGCCGCAACTTGGTGCCAATCAGTTGCTTCATGTATTCCTCGTTGATGTTTTGAGTGCAGTCTTGTGTCGGCTTTGCTGGAGCACCCAATCCAAGGCCGAGCAAGAGGGCAAAGGAAAGGGATGACTATGGAGCTAGCCGATCCCGTGGTTCTGGTGGTGGCGGTCATGCTCCTCGCCACGGTGGCTACGACGACAACAGGAGGCACCATGGCCGCTCAGCAAAGAGATGATGTACAGGAAAAGGGCCTAGGCCGGATTTGCCGGGCGAAGCCTGGAATGGCAGTCTGCAGAGCCATGTGCCACAGACAGCGAAAAAGGTGATGCTGTCCGAGAGCATACGGATGCGAGTCACGTCGTTTCGCGAAGCATGTGACATGTGCACTCCTTGATATTTTGACTTGGGTTGAGAAGTGTTGCCTGATTGCAGGACAGCGACAAGAATATGGAGGAGATGGCAGAGAAGACCCCGCAGTCCAAGTCCCCCCGTGGCACGCCGATCAAGGTGAAACGAAAGCTCTTCGACAGCCCCGCCACCACCACGAAGAAGCTCAAACGTGCCAAGACCCCCAAGAAGTCAAAGAAGGTGGCATCGAAGGGGCTTCGGGACGAAGAGTCCGAGAAGGAGTCCGATGATGATGATGATGATCGTGACCTTTTCAATGGGCCGTTCGCTCGAGCGGGCAAAGCGCCAAAGTCACAGGCCTGTGGAAGCAAGGCCCCCCCCCCGGAGGATGACACCGATGAGGAGGACTCCGAGAAGGCCGAGTCCCCGACAAAGACCAAGGAAGCTGTGCCCGAGGCAGAGAATGAGCAGGAGGACAGCCCCCGTCCAATCGATGACATGCTTTTGGCACTGCTCCCCGCCAGCTCATCTAAGTTTCTCGGTTTCATTCATTCGGCACTGACAATTACAGGCGACGTAGGACCCAAACACTGATTCATGCTTCTTTGACTGATTCAGAACTAAGGAGCGATGTTCCCCACTTCTCTGCGATTCTCAGATCCGAGGACATCTTGACCTTGGAGGATGCCATGGAGGCCATAAGCGATCTGACAGGCTCCTCGGCTGATTCTTTGTCGCTTGTGTCTTCGTTTGCTGAGACAAGTCTACACGAGGTGACTGGACACGTCAACTGGGCGAAACCGCCCGTCTCGCTGCAGACTCCCTGACCTTGAAGGGCAAACGAGCCTTGATGGCTTGGCCTCGTGTGCTCAAGGATGTAGCAGTCAGGTATGGCTTTCTGTTGTTTCGTTAGCCATCGAAACATTGAGTCTGGCAGGAGCATGCAGCCAAAGTCGCAGCCGGGGAGTCACAGGAGATTGAGCAGGATTCCAACTCGCATGCTTCAGCAAGCATGTTCTTCAGACACTATCTCACAGACCATGAGTATCACGGGCTCTGATGAGCACACGGCGACAGTTGCTATGACGAGTCTTGGTCGTGCAGGAGAATGGCCTTGGTTAGCACTTGCATGTTGTGTTGCAGTGTGATGGTAAAGCTTGCTTTCAGATCATGTCATTAACCACCCGCAGACCCGCAGGACTGAAGTCCAGCTGAACGGGCCGTGGCCACGAGGCAAAGTTTTGACACGATGAGCCGCAAGCTCGCAGGAGAAGGGCACAGTTTTTGTTCTAGCAGGTTGTGTCAGGACACGGTGTGCTAGCAGACATTCACAGACTCGATGTCATCGACCACACACCCCGCATGACGGAACTGCAGCTCATGGACTGTGAGCACGTGGCGAGGTTTTCGCATAAAGAGCCGTGGGCACCTGAACACGCTTTGGCAAGCTTGAAATGACATGCCTCTGCAACGTGCCTGTGTTGGCGAAGTCGCACAGCAAGCTTGACTTGGGCATGTCAGGGAAGCACAAACCCCTCAGCAAGAATGCAGCCATGGCCGGCTTGCAGTGTAGAAGTGTTTGCTTGATTGAGTGAGCAACTCTAGGTTCAGCAATGTTTGAGCCACGATGAGGTTTCCTTGTAGAGTGAACACGGAGCAGAAATTATTATGACATCTTTGCAATCTCAAGTCGCTGATACTCAGCTAGCACACAGGAAGCATGCCTTTAGGCTCGCAATCTGAAGTCGCTGATACTCAGCTAGCACACAGGAAGCATGCCTTTAGGCTCGCTTTGACACAGCCTGCTGGTCCCATCCCCCGGTCAGGCCACTATGCTGTTTCGCGACACACTGATGAGGTTATCCTCACTGTCAGTCCAATAATAAGGGATATGTAAAAAAAAAGACATTCAGAATTCATTGTTTGCGGCTTCTTGCCATTGTCTCAGACGTTTGCCCTGGATGCTTGGCACACAGAGCAAACATTTGAATGAAGGAAATGCGAGTACGGGCCGGGCCGGAAATGTCGACTGTGTTTCGATATGGTTTGAATCGACATGAAGATATGTATGAAGTGCACGATTTCTTCACATCGGTTTTGTGGGTGTGTTCCCAGGCATAATCAAAAGCTCTGCACAGCCAGCTGTGAGAGCCAACACAGAATCGACTGGTTTCGGTGCAGTGATGGGGTTGGGCCGAGAATGGAAGCCTCCGCATTTCGCAAACGGCGGCGACTGGGAGTTTTCTTCAGATTCTTAGATTCTGCCAGTTGTCGCTGGGCGAGTTCTCAGACTCTGCCGAGATTGCAGCATCGGCGACTGGGTGTTTTCTCAGGGTCTGCCGCCAGGGCAGAACCAGGCTGTCCGAATAAGTTCTCATGGTTCGTCCAACCTCAATTCATTCATTCGAGTGCCCAATGAGAAATTTCTCTAAGTTCTCAGAAGCAAGGGTTTCTGAACTTTACGCAAGTTGCCTGCAACAGCAGCAATGGCTGGGGGGGGCGGGGTGGGGTTGAAACGTCTCGGATTTCTCAGTGCTCTTGGCTTGTTCTGCTCTCTTGGCAGAGAAATTGCCCAATGACAATATCGCTGCCTGTCGGCAGACTTTGATGAAACTTCTATTCGCCTGTTCTGCTCTCGATCTGGGCAGAGCCTGAGAATTCGCCAAAATCGCGATATCGCTGCCTGTCAGACTTTGATGAAACTCCCATTCGCCTGTTCGGCTCTCTTGGCAGGGTCCGAGAATTCGTGGAAATCACAATATCGCTGCCTGTCGGCAGACTTTGATGAAACTCCCATTCGCCTGTTCTGCTCTCTTCGCAGAGTCTGAGAATCCGCCAAAATCACAATATCGCCGCCTGTCGGCAGACCTTGATGAAACTCCCATTCGCACGTTCTGCTCTCTTAGCAGAGTCTGAGAAGTCCCCAAAGTCCCAACATCGCTGACTTCCAGCAGACTTTGATGAAACTCCCATTCGCCTGTTCTGCCCTCCTGGCAGAGACGGAGAATTCACCAAAATCACAATTTCGCTGCCTGCCGGCAGACTTTGATGAACCTCCCATTCGCCTGTTCTGCTCTCTTGGAATTCGTCAAAATCACAATGTCGCTGCCTGTCGGCAGACTTTGATGGAACTCCCATTCGCCCGTTCGGCTCTCTCGGCAGAGTCTGAGAACTCGCCAAAATCAGGATATCGCTGCCTGTCGGCAGACCTTGATGAAACTTCCATTCGCATGTTCTGCTCTCTCGGCAGAATCTGACAAGTCTCCAAAATCACGATATCGCTGCATGTCGGCAGACTTTGATGAAACTCACAGTCGCCTGTTCTGCTCGCTTGGCAGAGTCTGAGAATCCGCCAACATCACAATATCGCTGCCTGTCGGCAGACTTTGATCCCGTTCGCCTGTATTCTGCTCTCTTGGCAGAGTCTGAGAATCTGCCAATATTACAATATCGCTGCCTGTCTGCAGACTTTGATGAAACTCCCATTCGCCTGTTCTGCTCTCTCGGCCGAGTCTGAGAATTCGCCAAAGTCACAATATCGCTGCCTGTCGGCAGACCTTGATGAAACTTCTCTTGGCAGAGTCTGAGAATTCGCCAAAGTCACAATACCGCTGCCTGTCGGCAGACTTTCATGAAACTCCCATTCGCTTGTTCTGCTCTCTCGGCAGAGTCTGAGAATTCGCCAGAATCACGATATCGCTGCCTGCCGGCAGACTTTGATGCAACTCCCATTCGCCTGTTCGGCTCTCCTGGCAGGGTCCGAGGCTTCGGGAAAATCACAACATCGCTGCCTGTCGGCAGACTTTCATGAAACTCCCATTCGCCTGTTTTGAGCTCTCTTGGCAGAGTCTGAAAACTCGCCAAAATCACAACATCGCTGCCTGTCGGCAGACTTTGATGAAACTCCCATTCGCCTGTTCGGCTGTCTTGGCAGAGTCTGAGAATTCGCCGAAATCACAATATCGCTGCCTGTCGGCAAACTTTGATGAAACTCCCACTCGCCTGTTCTGACAGAGTCTGAGACCTCGCCAAAATGACGATATCGCTGCCTGGCGGCAGACTTTGATGAAACTCCCATTCGCCTGTTCGGCTCTCTTGGCAGGGCCCGAGAATTCGCCCAAATCACAATATCGCTGCCTGTCGGCAGACTTTCATGAAACCCCCATTCGCCTGTTCGGCTCTCTTGGCAGGGTCCGAGAATTCGCGGAAATCACAATATCGCTGCCTGTCGGCAGACTTTGATGAAACTCCCATTCGCCTGCTCGGCTTTCTTGGCAGAGTCCGAGAATTCGCGAGAATCACAATATCGCTGCCTGTCGGCAGACTTTGGTGAAACTCCCATTCGCCTGTTCTGCTCTCTTGGCAGAGGCCGAGAATTCGCCAAAATCACAATATCGCTGCCTGTCGGCAGACTTTGATGAAACTCCCATTCGCCCGTCCAGCTCTGTTGGCAGAGTCTCAGAATTCGCCAAAATCACAATAATATCGCTGCCTGTCGGCAGACTTAGATGAAACTCGATCCCATTCGCCTGTTCGGCTCTCTTGGCCGGGTCCGAGAATTCGCCAACATCACAACGTCACTGCCTTTCGGTAGACTTTCATGAAACGCCCAATGTTCTGCTCTCTTCGCACAGTCCGAGAATTCGCCAAAATCAAACTATCGCTGCCTGTCGGCAGACTTTGATGAAACTCCCATTCGCCCGTTCAGCTCTCTTGGCAGAGTCTGAGAATTCGCCAAAATCACGATATCGCTGCCTGTCGCCAGACTTTGATGAAACTCCCATTCGCCTGTTCTGCTCTCTTGGCAGAGTCTGAGAATTCGCCAAGATCACAACATCGCTGCCTGTCGGCAGAATTTGATGAAACTCCCATTCGCCTGCTCTGCACTCTTCGCAGAGTCCGAGATTTCGCCAAAATCACAATATCGCTGCCTGGCGACAGACTTTGATGAAACTCCCATTCGCCCGTTCAGCTTTCTTGGCAGAGTCTGAGAACTCGCCAATATCACAATATCGCTGCCTGTCTGCACACTTTGACGAAACCTCCATTCGCATGTTCTGCTCTCTTGGCACAGTCTGAGAATTCGCCAAAGTCACAATATCACTGCCTGTCGACAGACTTACATGAAACTTCCATTCGCCTGTTCTGCTCCCTCGGCAGAGTCCGAGAATTCGCCAGAATCACGATATCGCTGCCTGCCGGCAGACTTTGATGCAACTCCCATTCGCCTGTTCGGCTCTCCTGGCAGGGTCCGAGGCTTCGGGAAAATCACAACATCGCTGCCTGTCGGCAGACTTTGATGAAACGCCCGTTCGCCTGTGCTGCTCTCTTGGCAGAGTCTGAGAATTCGCCCAAATCACAATATCGTTGCCTGTCGGCAAGTTAACTTTGAGACTCGGCCAAAATCACAATATCGCTGCCTGTCGGCAGACTTTGATGAAACTCCCATTCGCCTGTCACTGTTCTGCTCTCGTGGCAGAGTCTGAGAATTTGCAAAATCACAATATCGCTGCCTGTCGGCAGACTTTGATGAAACTCCCATTCGCCCGTTCAGCTCTCTTGGCAGAGTCTGAGAATCCGCCAAGATCACAATATCGCTGCCTGTCGCCAGACTTTGATGAAACTCCCAGTCGACTGTTCCGCTCTCTTGGCAGAGTCTGAGAACTCGCCAAAATCACAATATCGCTGCCTGTCGCCAGACTTTGGTGAAGCTCCCATTCGCCTGTTCTGCTCTCTCGGCAGAATCTGAGAACTCGCCAAAATCACGATATCGCTGCCTGTCGGCAGACTTTGATGAAACTCACAGTCGCCTGTTCTGCTCTCTTGGAAGAGTCTGAGAATCCGCCAAAATCACAATATGGCTGCCTGTCGGCAGACTTTGATCCCGTTCGCCTGTTCTGCTCTCTTGGCAGAGTCTGAGAATTCGCCGAAATCACAATATCGCTGCCTGTCGGCAGACTTTGAGACTCGGCCAAAATCACAATATCGCTGCCTGTCGGCAGACTTTGATGAAACTCCCATTCGCCTGTCACTGCTCTGCTGTCGTGGCAGAGTCTGAGA